CTTATCGTTTCTTAGATTAAACATATATGGCTATAATAAAGATTCCATCAATAATTATAAAGCGTAGAAAAATATCAAATTGTTTTTTCGTTACTTTTCTATCATTATATTTTAATGATATGTATATATATCTCCTTTCATATTCGTATTTTGAATGGAAATGTTAAGAATGCAAGATTTTTATTAATTTACTATTTGTGATTTTCTTTTCTCCCCTCCCTCTTTTTTAAATTATTGTCAAATAACATTAATTGAAAAATAGCATTGCATTTTCGTTTTGAAAAATTCAAGAAAACTAGGCACCGTTTTACGAGATATGCAGCATATAAACGATGAGTAACGTTCACACCCGCGGTATGTCAATATTAACAAGCTTCCGCGAGAATCTTATCTTCTTCGTCGACAACGAAATGCATCGCTCCTCGTATCGCTTTTCAATACAGCACGATATCTATTTCGCTTCGTATCGTATATTCGAATGCTCGAAAACTTTCGAAAGTATCGTAAATCTTCTCCCCCGTTATCGAACGGGGATTCTTTTTATTTCCTGTATTATGATCGATATCTATCGAATCGTACACGTAATAGAGTTTTAAAATAACTGGCGAAGCAAAGCCAGTTAACCCGACGAAAATTAAGTCAACCTTACGCTAATCCTGTCAAAGTACACACAACTTGCATTACACCTCGCGATCCTCTTTATTTTCTTAAAAAATTTGCTATACTTTTGAAATCGAGGTCGTGTCGGGTTCGTATGATCGAACGTATAGAAAGAGAGAGAAAAAAAAAAAAAAGATAAAAATATTCTTTACGATGCAATTAAGATTACAGCCACAGCGATCGAATACAATAGATCGAATTCATAGGTCTAAAAATCCATTAAGAACTCCCGATGAAATTCTAAAATTGAACGACTATCTCACTAATTCTCGGTTACATCCGATTTACCAAACCGAATATCCCGTCGAAATATGAAGAGAAAGCGGGGTACAGTCCCCTCGAAGCCCGGCGAGGCGAGTTCACTGTTTCCGGCTTAAACACCGCGAAAAATCGGCGAAATTGTCATCATCTGGCGCCATTCACGGAGCCGAGGCATCGTATACACGTGCGTGGCATGCACACGCACGCGTAACAGAGAAGGCCAGTACACGTGCCACGCACCCGTACACAGGTATACATGCACGCACGTTACACCGAATCGAGACGCGAACTTCCCTTCTAACGCTCACACATGAATGGGAAAAGAGGTACTCGTGGCCAGAAAAAAAGAGGCATCAACCAGACCTCGTGTGTACGTGAATGTTGGCTGGCTTCTCTGCAAGCCTCGCCTCGTGTTTGCGTACACGTATACGCGTACGGTACGTCGGTGTTGGAATAGGATCGCGCGCGGCGAACGAGCGCGTTTGTGCGGTCGGTCGGCTGTGTGCAACATACGCGGTGTGCTGCAACCTTTATTCGGCGCGGCTGCAGTTTTACCTCCTACACGTTTTTGTCGCGAATCGTGCGCATACTGTATATGTAAAGCCACGCTGCTGGCACGTACATGCCACTTTCCCTTTTCAAAATCGATTTTGGCGCCGTGCGCCCCGCCGGCTCAGTCAACGACGTCGACGCTTCTCCCGCCAGGGCTGTATCTATTCCACTGTGCGCCACTCTTCTTCTTCGAATCTTTATACTTTTTTTTTTTTTTTTATTTATATTATTTTATTCCGTGTATTAGGATCGAATATTAGTAACGTTGCAAGTATCGAATTATCATCGATGCTCCGTTCGATAGTGTTGGATTTTATAATTATAGTAAATAGATGTATGCCTTTGATAATCTTGAAAAATTAAAAATATATCGGATCAAGTTGTGTTATTTTTCCATTTTCCATCGTCGTAAGTGAGAGTGATAGTAATTGGATTAAATAAGTGAAAAGAATTTTTATATTCGACAAAAATTGCACGCGCCACCGATATCGAAAGGCAACCGATAAAAGCGCAGCTATTTGGTAGATCACACAGGTACGGTCTGGTAAAACGTATAAATACAAGTAATGAGACCATAAAACTCGCAAGGGATGATTACGCGGCGTAATTCCCGGTGCATCTCTAAAAATGAGAAAAAAGAAAGAGAGAGAGAGAGAGAAATGGGCACACGCACCACTCGCGCGTTAATTACCCCCGCGTAAATGTGTTCCATTTTTACGGGATTAGCGGCGCGTAACGAGTCCCAATTCCCTTCACAATTAACTGCACCGCATTACGACCCTCGAACTTTTCGTCAACTACCCCTTCCATTCGCTTCCACCGACCTCCCACCTCCTCCCCTCACTCCCTTGTCCCGTTTTCGGCCTTCCGCATCCTCTCAGAAGATACCGTCCGAGTCTATCGGCTTGTTAAACGAAAAAAAAAAAAGAAAGAAAGAAAGAAAGAAAGGAAGGAAAGGAAAAAAGACAGAGAGAAAAAAAGGAGAGAGTAGAGAAGAAAAAGAGAGTTGGAAAAAAAGGTGTCTTAGGCGAGATCAAAAGCTCTTCCACGGGGGTGACCCGTGNTGGTGGGGATCGGTGGAGGAGACGAGCCGCGCGAGCCAGACGAAAGCAGCGATATCAACGTTTCCCTCGCGCACTCGTTGCATATACACCTCACACCACACCGGGTGCCGCCGAAAATCCCCAAAAGCACACGAAACAAAGGCCTACCTCTCCGTTCCAACCCTCCGCTGCCACCCCCGCCCTATACTCCTCCCTTGCACCCGTAACCTGTACCCGATACACGCGTGCACACCAGCCTTCTGTGTACGAACAGAGGAGACGTAACATGGACTTTTCTCGGTCGGACGTGTTGTGCGCTCTCTGTAGGCGCGAGCACGTGCACGGACCAAGAGTTCGCTTCGACGAGCCTCGAGCATCGATGAGAGAGAGAGAGAGAGAGAGGGAAGTCTTTATCGGGCGTGCAAGAACGCGTTGTATACTCCACGGTAATTGTTTGGTTAAGGTTCTTCGGGGGCTGAAATTAGTTCCGTCACGTGCGTCACCCTCTCACCTTTTGTGTGGTCGTTGTACCACCGTTCAAACCGGTCATCCAACGGCGTAAGATTTTACGCCGATTCCCGATTTATTCCCAATTCTATCTTTATTATGTATATATATATATAATTATCGATTTTTAAACGATTTTTATCTTCGGAATTTTATATCTTGTTCGCTTACGAAGTAATTGGATAATTTTTTTTTTATACAGATCATCCTTGAACACCGTTCGACGGTGGAATTTTTTTCGCGAATCAATCGCGAAGTAAAATGCAATGGTGTCGATAAACGGTGGCTTGGTTGCTAATGAAATGTAAATGGAACAAATATGAAATTATACAAACACGAGAATACGTGTAATTACGTAAATCAATTATCTTTGTAAATTACGTACAGGATGCTTTCGCAATTGTCGATCGAAGAATTTCACAATGTTGCGACAATCTTTTTTTCCCTCCCCGGAACGGAATAGAATAGCAGGTGTTGGAGCGCGTTTAACGACACGTAAAATACTCGGTGGAGGGGAAAGTGTTGCAATTGTTATTTTACGATTCGAGATCCCGATTTACGCGATTATCGGGCATCTTCATCGGGCCGTGATAATTGGCCGAGCGCAAGCTAGGTCGGTCGGTACGTTTTCTTCAAGGTTAGTCGAAAGCCCTGACGCTGAGTGGGTCGGTGAGCTGAAAAATCGATACGTACGAAAGTGAGAGTCTCAGCCGTTCCACCCTCCTTTTTCTTCTTCGCGTTCCACGTCCTCTTCTTACTTGCCATTTGGTTCATTCATGTTGCTTGCGTCGCGCAGTGCCGTGATTCGTCCAATTTCGCCATTTTTTTTCACCCCTTTAAATTCGGCCGGACGGAGGAATTCGCGGATCCTTGAAAAGAGGGGAAACGAAACGAAACGAAAAGGGGTAAGAATTTATCGCGAGGATACATTACGATGATTTGTGAATTTTGCCCGGGAATTACGTTTTAAAAAGAAGAGAGACGGACCGAAGAGGCTGTATTTGGTATTTAGATAGGGGTACGACGGAGTTTGTTTTTGATTCACGATGCCTTTCATGTCGCGTTCTGTCCCCCCCTCGTGAAGGGAGAAAATAAATTCGACGACGAGATGTTGAACGAAAGAAAGAAAGAAAGAAAGAAAGAGAGAACGTCAACAGGGACATCCGCACATGTGGGATCTTTGTCGATGATGCTTCGTCGAAAACATCATCCAGAATAAATAATTGCAGACTCTTGTTAATATTTCGATATATTTGAATCGTTTCTTAAAATTCTTTTCTACACGGCGAATTAAAATATCAATGATCGAGTTATCCAATCGCTTGACATTTATTTTATGATAATGAAATACCGTTTACGTCGATACACTATTAAACGATAAATATGTTGGTATTTCGTTAAAAAAAAAAAACAGAAGATTTCCACAAGTTCTCAAACCTATTTATTAGATATGCGTCGATATTTTGTAAGATTCGTATATATAATGATTTCGACGTGTATACGTTCTCGATACGTTCGTGTTGACTCATCGTACGCTTTTTCCTCCTCGAGTTGCTTTTTGTTTAGCAGGCGCCATCCTCTTTGACGTTCTCGAGCCGATACCAAGAAATTCTTGACCCACATCTCGCGTTATATGTTCTGCGTGACCTACGCTGCATCTTTAGAAATCGATGCCGCTTATTTTTCTTTTCTTCCCCTCTCTTGATTTTTTTTTTAAATAACAAAAGAATAGATTATTATTTAAACTTTATTTTAACTTGCTAATCAGATTGTTTCTCGTTCACGAATCTTTCATCTTCTATCAAGTTTTTATTAAGTTTATTGAAATTGCTTCAATTCGCGTCAATCTTTTACTCGTAAATAAGAGAGTGAAAAAGAGGGGAGAATTTTTAATTTAAAGACATATCAACGGTAACACGTACGTTTTTCAGATTGGAAATAACTATTATTAATTCAAGATTCTAAATTTGTTTACAGTACTTCATCCTCAAAGGTAATCGTGAACAACTTCCCAGCTCAGGCCAGAATAGAAGATATCGAAGCTTTATTTTCGAACTGTGGACAAGTGCAGTCCGTTGAAAAGTTATCCTCCCGAGACCCCAACACCCAAACCGTCCTAATCAGTTATGAGACGCAGGAACAAGCACAACAGTAAGTATTTACTTTTCAAAATTCGATTTTCATCTCAATAATTTGTTCAAATATCTCATCGTTATAGAATTCAGTGTAACAATTATTTCTCTCTGCAGGGCTGTGAACCAATTTAATGGCCACGAATACGAAGGTAGCCCACTAAAAGTGGAAATGTCTACGGTGGAGAACCGACGAAGAGGCCGCAGCCAGCGAAGCGGCGTAGCTTATTCCGGAGTTTCGGGTTCTGGGCGGCAAGCAGATTTCCCGCTTCGTATTCTCGTTCAATCGGAAATGGTAGGAGCCATAATTGGTCGTCAAGGATCGACCATACGTCAGATCACTCAGATGACGCGCGCACGAGTAGACGTTCATCGAAAGGACAGTCTTGGCGCGGCAGAGAAAGCCATCACTATCTATGGTAATCCAGAGAATTGTACGAACGCCTGCAAGAAAATCATGGAAGTCACGCAGCAAGAGGCTTACGGTTTGAGTAAAGGGTAAGATTACGCTTTTCTAAATAACAAACGAAGTTGGAATATTTCTACTATTGCATTTTTTTACGTGTCAACAGTGAGATATCATTAAGGATCCTCGCGCACAACAATTTGATCGGTCGAATCATCGGAAAGGGTGGCACTACCATTAAAAAGATCATGCAAGACACCGACACCAAAATAACCGTAAGCAGTATCAACGATATCAACAATTTCAATCTTGAACGCATCATCACGGTCAAAGGCAGCATCGATAACATGAGCAAAGCCGAATCGATGATCTCCAACAAATTGCGTCAAAGTTACGAGAACGACTTGCAGGCAATGGCTGTAAGTATAAGAATTAGAAATGAAAGATAAAGATAAAGAGAAAATTTTAAGCTTTGGACGTATTTGTATTAAATTTAATGTAATGTATGTACTTAAACGACGTGATGATGTTATAGCCCCAGAGTTTGATGTTCCCGGGACTCCATCCTATGGCGATGATGTCCACTGCTGGGATGGGATACAGTTCACGTGGTCCTGGTTTATACGGTTCTGGCCCAGCTCCCTATCCGTATCAGGCTAGTTTGCCGACTCAACAGGGTATTCCGATAGGCGATACCCAAGAAACTGCTTTCCTTTATATTCCAAATACCAGCGTAGGTGCCATAATAGGAAGCAAGGGTTCTCATATCAGAAACATTATCAGATTCTCCGGCGCCAGTGTGAAAATCGCACCTATCGAGCAGGATAAACCTGTGGATCAACAAAATGACAGGAAAGTAACCATCGTCGGGTCTCCCGAATCTCAGTGGAAGGTGAG